GAACAACAAAACTATGTTCATAAAATTCTTATGCCCATAAGTATGAAGTGACTAAACCCAATTATGGTTGGCTTGGAGGTAAATGGTGTTACACAGGAAGAGTTACTGCCTCCATTTTATACCCAGTGTGGAACTCAAAGGAAATCAGGAAAATGAGCACAATAAATTATCCCATCACAATAGGGGCAAGAATAAAAAGGACATTGGCAGAAAAGGTTCTGAAAAAAAAAAAAAAAAAACACAAAACAGAACATTGTAGCATCATGCTAAAAGAGAGTCAAAAAAAAAAAAAAAAAACATTTCCAGTTTGAGAAGAAAAGGGCAAAGACATTTTTCCAAAAGTATTGAGTGGAAGCAAAACCACCTATAATTAAAAGAAAGCACAGCAATTTCCACACAAAGCAATTAAGAGACCTGATACATAAGGGTTCTGTGCATTAATTTTACAACCTGCCATTTGACTAACTTCTCTCATTGTAGTATTTCCACTGATTCTTTTGGATTTTTCAGATATAACATCATAAATCTGCAGATAAAGATAATTTCCCCTCCTGTGGGAAAGGGTTAGCCCAATCAGAAACTCAGGAAAGAATATCTAAAAGAAGTTAACAATATGAAAGGAAACAGTGGAAGCTTCCAGTAAAAATGGTGACTTAAACACATGTATTTATCTCTACCCCTGTACAATCTGTATTAAAAAGATAATAACAATACAAGACAAATAGAATGAATAAAGAGAAGACCACGGACAAGATACAAACAACAATTTAGAGATGGAAGTCACATGGATGTGAGGCCACTGACTTAGAACACTGATAAAAGGCTTAAACCAGTAAGAGTCAATTTGAAGTGCAGAATACCAAAAACACTCAAGAACTGGAAGCTGAACTTCAGGGAGAGAGTAAATACAAAATGATTATTTAGAGTGGGTTGAAGAACAGGTACAGCCTCCTATTCTCCAGCAGATGTCTGCCCCTCCCCAATCCCAGGAGAGGTTTATTCTCTTTAGAAGGTTGTACCAGAAAGGCTTAGAACTGGGACATCAGGCACAGAGGAAATGAAGGTGAAGAGTCAGACTGAATGAAAATGAAGCACAAGAAAGTTCATGCAGAGAACTAGGAGATCCTGAGCCCCTTTTTGATCATCTCAGACTAATAGCCTAGAAAATAAGAGTGGTAAATTCACTTTGGAGGGATGAAAGGAAGCCTCATAATAGCAATTTGGAGATCAGCCAATACAGACTGCATTAAGATGGAGAACAGCAAGGACAATCATGGGGAGAAGAAAAAATGATAGGTTACCTGATTCTGATTTGTTTCAGAGGAGTTTTAAGTTCTTATCAAACAGTTTAACATCTCAATCTGTGATTAAAATTCTACTAATTAATTATATGCAAGATAAACAAATGAAAAAAGGTAGCAATTATGAGGAAAATCAAAAAGTTGTTCAAAGAAGGAAATTTAATCATGGTACACTGCGTGGCCCTGCAATGAGCAGTATTTACATCAACACAAGTTTGTAAATACTACATAGTAACTAAAATCAAAATATAGGTGAAACATTGTGTGTCTGCTAGACATAAATGCCCTAGTTGGCCACCATTTTGGTTAAGTGCAGTCTGTCCTCTAGTACAAGGTCAGAACAAACCAGTCAATTTGTTATATGACCTAAAAGAATGTAATATTAAGTAAGAGCAGGACACTTGATGACCCTGGGACAGTGGGTATACACCATGAGGTATAACTAGGAACTCATGGGGGACCCTTGATGGATGTATAACCAAGCGCCCCAGAGAATGATCAGTGGACTGCCTTGTCAATAAGATTGGAACCATGGCCAGGGACCTGGGGTATGGTTTAGATCACAACACCTAGTCATCAAGCAGGTAAGAAATACCTGGGAGCAGACTCACAACCCCCAAAACCCTAGATGATATAAGCACATTTTCAGTTTCATGCATCTTTTTCTCTTTGTCCTGTCCCACGTAACTGATGCTGTATGATTATTCTATCGATAAAAAGGCAAGGATCCTGCTCTTTCAGCAGAATCCTACATTGTGCAACCTGCTCCACAACTCCCGTTTCTTTATTAATGTGGTGTTGCCAATGCAACAAAACATAATTAGGGATAGCAATACAACAAAGAAAACTCTCTCTTTATGTGTTTCCTTATACCATAAATCAGTGGTTATATACAGTCTTGCTCAGATTCAGATTTAATTCTGTTGGTGGATTTTGTAAACTTCTATCAGAACATAATAATAGCATCTCTTTTGGTGATGTTATCAGGTATAGCTAATCATTACCTAGATGTGCTAATTCATCAGGGGTTGCCAAATGATGATTCCTAAATCTTTCTTTTTCCTTGATTTAATAAGGAGATTAATCCTAAAAGAGAAATTTTCCCTTAATGACTAGATTATCATGATGTAAAATTTCACACAGGAATCAGAAAAAAAAGCTTATAATGCTTTGCCAGTTTTCAATACTGATTCTTGTTTTTATAAAGGTTTCTAATGGGGTTGACACATGAATTCTATAACCTGTTATTTAACTAACTTCTCTCATTGTATTTGTTATTTTTTTAAGTAATTTTTTTTTAATAGTTTAAGAAGGTTGTAGCCAAGATTGCACTTCTGGCTTCATGGGATTAAGTTCTTCTTTCATGAAGTTAAAAAAAAAAAAAAAAAAGGCAGTCACACACACTAAGATCTTTCTATTCCAACACTTCTTTCTAGACCTTTCCTTGGTCCTCATTATCAGTCCTTCTCAGGTGTTTATTACAGCACTTTAATTTAACGAAAGGTCTTGTCCTGAAAAGATGCTTCAGTTTGACATTCTAGAAAAGTCACAAGAGAAAGACCAGCAGACAAGCTTGATACCAGTAGACCACTCACTGGTTTCCTTGCATTCATCCACTCACAGGAGCCATCAAAGGTTCTCTATTGCTGTCACTGTCCTAAGAATTACCCAGTGAACTGCCATTAGGTATTTGATGGCAATTTGGGGGTTTTCTGACTCTGAAAGTAGACACTAGTCCCTCTGCCTTCCCTGAGCTTTCTCCTTCACACTTTCTACTACGCAGTTCTGAAAACTTTTCATAGTTTGTTCTTCTTACTCCTAATTTGAGGTTCATGGAGATACCTTGTCACCTTTATTTGTTGCAGATGTCAGTCATTTCTTTTGACTTTACTATACTAGTTGCTCTAATTATATGAGGGGTCAAAAAACTCTACCACTGCTAATCTCCAAACATCCTCTATTAGATTGTTAAAGAGAAATACAAAGCACATTGGACACACAAGTCCCAGTGTCCTTCATGAGCATTTTAATTAATTCCTCATTGAAAATAAACACTGAAATCCCACTGTTATCATTTATACGTTGATGTATTGTACACACTGACATTTTAAACTACATGTTCCCTAGCAGCAACAAGTTACCCAGTACCCACACATCTTGGTTTCTAAATACCATTTTCCAATAAAAGAGATCAAGGTTATTGGAAGAAAAAGGCTGGGAAAATACAAAATTCATCCTTGCATCTTGTAGGGCATCTTGTCAAGGGCATCTTGTAGGACCAAAAGGTGAATAAGTGCTTAAAAGACAAAAATGTTGAAGACCCAAAAGGACAGGAGTCATTTCTTTAATTTGAGCAATAAAAGAAATAATACACCAGAGGACTGGAACTATATTGCAGATAAAATGCAGGATGACTGCTTAAATTTAAATGTCAGAAAAACAGCAAATAGTTTTTCAGTATTACTTTGCCTCATTGCAATACCTGAAATGGAAATTTCTATGTTATTTATAGGTTGACTATATATTAACATTAAGATTAACTATACAGTAAAAATATGTATAATTCTCTTTTCATAAGATAGGCTTAATCAGTTTCAACAACTCCTTTCATTTCTTCTAAATACTACTGAATCTAAAAGTTCTCTGAAAAGTTAGTAATAAATCTGTGATCTAGATAGACCTTACCTCATAATCATAGATAAGATTATAGGGGCCAGTTCAGAGAAAATCTGACAACCAAATCTCCTCACAAATACTGCATTAATAATATTTATCTCAGCTTAATTAACACAGAATGTGAAACAAGATCTGTGCTGTGTCAAACAGTTTAATTAAATTGAAAAATCAAAACTCTTTTAGCAAGGTTACAGGTCTTGCTCTACCTTGGCCCTCATGAAATTTAATATTTAATATTTATGAAATGGAATATTTCTAAGCAAGATGACACATTCAAAGTGCTCTTAGTTTTCTTCTCTTACCTCTTAAATTCTCTGAGTATCTATGGCAAAAGGCCCTAAGTATAGGTTAAATGTGAAAAATGTTTTATTTCAAAGATCATATGGTTATTTTTTTAACAATGCTAAATGAAGGACTGTCTTGGAAACATGAGTTTATTGTCAAAAATCAACAATCACCTCAAAACTTTAATCTCCTTAGGTCAAAAAGCAAGAATTGACTTTCAATTAGTTTGAGTTTAGAAAATTTCATTATAAAGAATAGGATTTCTCTTTTAGAAGATCAATTTTAATATCTTGCTTTTAAATTTTAAAATATTTACACTGAAATAAGACAACTGAATGAATTCTTTATTTTGAAATGAAATTCACTGTGAATTTGCCAAATGCAAAACTATTCTTACCACCCCAAACTCAGTTCAATATCCTCTCCAAGGATTTGAAATGCCAAAGGATTTTTAATTATATAGTCCTCTAATGAAAAACAACCAGAAAAAATTATGATTTTTCCAATACTAATTGAGACATTTCTCATTAGCTGGCTGGGTGCTTAAGAATAGTCTGTATAGCTACTCTCTTTCCTCTCTCTTCTCTCTTCACTCTCTCAACATTAAACCACCCTGGGAGAAAATCCATAATAATGCACTGATAAAGCCACCTGCTGTCATCCAGCACAGCATGCTACTGTTATAAGAGGAATATTCTTTATGTTTACCCACTGATAAACAAGAAGACTTGCACTTACCGAGCTGGGACTCGAGTGCCGCCTAACTTTAGGGGACTCTTTGCCTGTGGAGGAGGTCTTAAAATTAATACAAGCATTGTTCTCAGAATGCACCCTCTTTACTTGATTAGTTGGTTTCTCAAATGGGTCAAAAGTGCTCTGTGTCCTCTGAACCCTGACTTTTTTATCCTCAGGAATTGTGTCCAGGGGTTTCATCACTGAGTCCATTCCCTGGCAGTTCCGTGTAGACATCTTTGTGACACATATCTGGGAAGAAAAAAAGAAATGAAATGAAAGTCAGAACTTTCCACTGAAATTTTAAAATCACAAAAGATACTGATTTCTTATTCTAGAAAACCTGCCAATTTCAATTTCAGGAAATATTCCAAAAGGACACCTTCTAAAAGCTACAACAGCTTCTATCAAAATATGCAAAATTCTCACAACCATTATATTTATACTTGTTTAGGGCTAACACTAAAAATGCTGCCCCTAAAATGGAAAACTTGAAGCCTAGACTGCTAGTGCCCTAAGGTGGTTTTTGAAATCTGTCACAGGTCTTACCACCTCACTGCAAGTGGGATTATTCTGAATGTTTAAGAAGTTGGATAAATTGCCTTAAAAAAATAAAACAACAGTTGAGTTAAATTAAACAGGCATTTTAACTGATGGGTCATCAAAAACAGCTAACAAAGGCCTCAGGAAAAGAACATTATGTTCTTCAAAAGTTTAATAATATATATATGTATGAGGAGGGAGAGAGAGAGAGAGAGTGAGTGCAAGAAAGCAAGAAGGAAAGAAAATCTGCCCTCAACTTGATTTCCTCTCCAAACTGGAATGGAGCATATAAAATGGCTAATTAATAGTTAGAGATGGTGAAAAACTGAAAACAAATTTTTACAATAAAATTTAAAAAAAAAACCAATACAAAAAGAAATATATTGAATACAGTCATTTCAGGATTTTTTTTAATGTTACCCCACTAGACCCCTAGCTCCTTCCCAATTTCCCCACTTTCCTTTTACTACAGTGCCTGTCCCACTATCTGATTTTATTTCAGTCTCTCTTTTCCTCCTTGTTTTCCACATTAAATTCTAACTCTTTGGCTCTCCCTATACTCTGGAGACTTTGTTGGCTTTATTTAATGATTTTATGGCCTCTAGCCTGTCTGTAACACCAAGAAGCATAATCCCCACAGAAACATTGCTTAGTTTTGCCAAGGAGAATAGGGAGCTAACCTACATCCCATTTAGCATGCATTCTATTTTTTTTTTATTAAAGGTCTTTGAGTTATCTTAGTAAATTAGACTTTTTCTCCTGTATTTCAAAGGACCTATATGGGGAAAAAAGGTTTGTAACAATATGGAGAAAAAATTATTATGGAGTATAACTTTGTAGCACATATACACCCTATAGCCACAGCTTAAAAAAAAAAAAAAAAAACACAGTAGGGCCTCCCTGGTGGCACAAGGGGTTAAGACGCAACCTATGAAGCTGTCCACAGCCTCTGCAGCACGAGTTCGATCCCTGGCCAAGGAGCAACACACATGGCACAGCAGACCTCTTTTGTCTCGCCCGCTGCTCCCCTCAACAATGTACTTCAGTCAATCTGCCTGTTCTGTTCCCCACTCAGTCTCTGGTGAATCCTCTGACCACTGACACCTCTGGCCTGTGCCCTAGTTCTTGTATGCATAAATAAATAAATCTGAAAAAAAAAAAAAAAAAAACAAACAGTAAATACTAAATGACAAATGTCATTTGGACATGTCAGCAGAGAAAAGAAGAGCAATAAGGACCCATCAAAGCTAAAAAATGAACTTAATTCTTAACAAGAGTTCATGAAATTATAGAAATTCATATAAACCTTCCATTTGCTCAACTTTGTGCTACCAATTCTGGCAAACTAAGACTGCTTATTTTAGGAAGCACAGGTATTTTATACCCAAACAGACTGATAAATCTCTGAGTCTATACAAGTTAAGTAAGTGAAACTGTTACAGGATCTAGTGTCACATCACTGTGCCTCAGTCAAAAGCGGACCACATTTACAATAGTGGCCCCATAAATGACCTAGGTGAGTTGCGGGCTAAGCCATCTACATTATGTAAGTGCACTCTATGCTGCTTACACAAGGATGAAACTAACAACACATTTCTCAAAACATACCTCTATTGGGGCCTTGCTGGCGGCGCAAGGGGTTAAGACGTAACCTATGAAGCTGTGCGCAGCCACTGCAGCGTAACTTCGATTCCCCAGCTAGCCAGGGAGGTGACATACATGGTGCAGCAGACCTCACCTGACTCACCCGCTGCTCCCCTCAGCAGTGTATTTCAGTCAGTCTGCCTGTTCTGCTCCCCACTCCATCTCTGGTGAATCCTCTCACCCCCCCATATCTCTGGCCTGTACCCCAGTTCTTGCATGCATAAATAAATAAATCTTAAAAAAAAAAACCTCTATCATCAAGTGACAGATGACTATGCCTTGCTTCCTTGTGCCTTACAATAATATGTTCTCATGAGGTAGTCTCTAATTTAACTGATCACAGTATGGGGCAATTGTTAATTTTTTTTAAGATTTTTTATTTGTATTTATTTATGCATATAAGAACTGGAGTGCAGGCCAGAGGTACGGGGTTGAGAGCACTCACCAGAGACAGAGGGGGGAGCAGAACAGGCAAATCTACTGAAATCCACTGCTGAGGGGAGCAGTGGGTGAGACAGGAGAGGTCTACTGGACCATGTGGGTTAGCTCCCTTGCCGGGGATTGAACTCATGCTGCAGTGTCTGGGTATAGCTTGATAGTGCTGACTTTAACCCCTGTACCACCAGGGAGGCCCAGACACGTGTTTATTATAAGTCAGTGCAAACTGCACATGTGGAAAGCCAGTTTCTCTAAAGCATTCTCTCTTTTAAACATGATAGTTGCAGCCTTGTTCTAACTTTGAAGAGAGAAATGTACTTCAACAAAAACTTCTTAATTTCAAAGATTTCCCACAAACATCCACAAGCTCTTCATCTTCATCATCTTTTTCATCTACAAGGAAATAGCAAAACACAAGTACAAAACAATCATTGGCATAAAACCAACTTCTTAGAAACAGTATGCTTGTGGGCCTCCCCTCGTGGTGCAGCGGTTGAGCACTGGGTTGAAAAGCTGCCAGCGGCCTTTGCAGTGCCAGTTGAATTCCCGGCCCCCGGCGAGGGTCCCATATGGCGTGGCAGACCTCTCCTGCCTTGCCCGCTGCTCCCCTCAACAGTGTGTTTAGTCAGTCTGCCAGTTCTGTTCCCCGCTCTGGCTCTGGTGAATTCTCTCACCCTCCCGCATCTCTGACTGTACCCAGTGCTTGTATAAATAAATAAATCTTTTAAAAAAAAAGTTTAAAAAAAAACAAAACAGTATGCTTGTCTGGAAACAGGTCTATGGTTGCGATTTTACTTATTGCCATGAACATTTCTTGCTAGTTAGTCCCTAGTTCACATGATATTTTAAAAATATATATGAATATCCCACAGTGGTTTGCAGAGTACCAAATTTTCCAGGCAGATTCAATATCTCCTTATCCAATTCTATGAGGCAAGGATGCTGTCTATATTATTGCACCCTTTCCTTTAGTGCCTCGACTCAGTGCCTCAATAAAGCTCAATAAGGGTCTGAATTAATAAATCAGATTTAAGAAGTTTCATTCAAGCAAGGAGTCTCCTTGCTGAAAGGGACTGAAGCTCTGAAATACTTGTTATTCAAAAACTAGAATAAAAAAATAACAGCAGTCTGATGTAAAAATAATATACATGTATGTTCACAAAACACTATCAACAAAAGAATTCCTTAAACTACAAACTACTGAAATATGCAGAATTTAAGAGGACAACCAATGTCCCACACTTTTGCATGACCCCTCCCCTATGTGTGCGTATAATGAGGTATCAACTCCCATGACTATGTTATGTGATATGGCAATCCCACTTAACCCTGGATGGTTACATGTGACCTAATCAGGAGAGCCCTTTAAAAGCAGATAGTTTTTTCAGATAGTTGCAGAAGACCAAGAGTGGCTAGCTTGGAAGGAGGCAAACACCTCATGCTGTAAACCAATATGTATCCACAAGGCACAGAACTGCATGGGGAATGTCTTCAAGAGCTGACAACTAGCAGGAAAATGGGATAATGGTCCCACATGGTGCACAAAAAATTGAGTTCTATTAGCAACTAGATGGTTTATAAGAGAATCCCAAGCCCCAGATGAGAACCATGTCAAGGCCAATACCTTGATTTCAGTCCATTTGGACCTTGCTAGAGAAACCAACTATGCTATGCTGCACTTCAACCTACAGAAGCTGTGAGAGAATAAGTTAGTGAGTTTGTGCTGATGCCTTACACAACAATAGAAAACGAATATATTCATGTTGCTGAAATCGCTGGAAGCACTTTGATATTTGAGCAGGATGTTCTTAGGAACATGTTGCAGATACCACTTACTGAATTTGATACCTTGTATCGGATCCAGGAGCAAACAGGAGATGATTCTTAGGGTTACTATCAATCAATAATCAGACATTCAGAATTTTCTACATGATGAAACCCCATCAGCATTATAAAGGCCACAAATAAGTTCTCCACATAATTAAGTTTATACACAATTCATGCTGGTCTCTACTTCTCCTGGACTTTGTGTGAATAATACCAGTGTCAGCACCGGCTTTGGGTACCCATCTTCATCCAGGAAAGTAATCTATACTTGAGTTTTCCACCTAGGGCAAAGTGGCTGTCCCAGAAAAGTTTCAAGTTTCCAATATTTGGGACAAACAACTTAAATGTGATCTGACCCTTTCTGTTAACCATGAGCACATCAGATAGTTGAATCCAGGCCTTTCATAAAGGCATGAGGAATTAGTCTTCTCTCATGAGCTTGCCAGGCAGACCCCAGAGAGAAGAGGGAAGGGTGTACTTGAGAGAAGGACATGGGCAAGGTGAAGTAAGAATATGCTCTTTCTGCCTAGAGTTGCAATCTCTGGCAGCTCCTACGGTACTTGGAGAAGAGTGAGCAGATTGGAGTCCAAACAATGAAAGAGAGGGTTCTAGAAAGCAGATTATATAGCACTAGTGTAACTCTCCAGTGCCCAAGTCTTCATTTGAATCCTTCCATCAACCGTCACCAATCTAAATAAGCATTTCTCCTTGTCAAATAGAATCTGTCATTCTTCCTGTAACAAAATTTATGGTCTTGGTGCAGTAGTAGTAAATGTTAGTGACATATTTAACCTCATGCT